CGCTTTTTTGTTTCCGATACGATGAACCGTTGTTGCCAAACACGAACACATGATATTATTGAGACAGGGCGGTACTCAAACTTCCAAAGGGCTATAACTTTGTTACTTTAATTTTACCAGAAAAATGGTAAAGGAAAAAAACATTTCTTTTGATCAGATCTACACACTGTTAAAATAAATGACTCAACTTCGAAGTCACCCTGTATATATATATATTACATGGTTCCACTACTACACTTGATTCAAAACGTGCATACAATGTGAGGACCGACTGTATACCATACCAAGTGAGGACCACCAGAAGGAAAGGAATGCAGCTACAAATGTGGTTTTAAACATGATCTGGTAACACGCCATTGTTATATCTAAAAGTTGCGAGTATACACGGAAAAAACTATTTTAAATTTATGACTTGTATATCGGCCAAAGTGAGGACCGATCGAGCTCCTAACCTAGCGGGGTCCGTATATTCAAACACATCAAACAAAGTGAGGACGTTTCAGAATATATCTCACTTAGCGCATACAGAGCGTTTGAACATTACGATTCATGCAGGGGAGTGACACTTTCCGACATGCTATAATAAAATAACGTCAAGTAGGTTGACTCGTTCTAGAATCACGATATTGGACGAACTAGGATACATTTTGTCAGCGTATGCGAAATGTGGTCCATGCAAGAGTGTAAAACACTGTATCAAGCAAGATTAAACTGACGTCAAGTAGGTTGACTCATTCAAGGAATGACGTAAATAATCGGAATAGGTCACATTTCGTGAGCGTCTGTGAAATTTCGTCCACTCAGGAGCGTAAAACACCCCACAATGTAACATCAAAATGACGTCGAGTAGGTTGACTCATTCTATTTATATTATATTTTTTATTATATTATTTAGTATTAACTTTACTATAGAATTCAAATTCTACGGATGGTAACATAGGGGACTTAAAATACCAGCCAAGATCAGCTACATAAAATAAGACTACGTGTTTTGATGTCAAACATTTTTCGAATAATAAAATAATCATTCAGATATATGCCCTATGAAGTATTCTGCGTTTCGGACTCAAATCACGAGATCTTTTTCTTCAAATACTACATACATACTAAACAGATTTGAACAACTTCCAGGTTAACGTTCGGAGCACATATATCAGTACACACGTTACCAATTATAGCACCCTGTCTTATAGTCAGCGTTACCAACTTTGAAAGATTTGGATTACTTATTTCTATTTTGTGGCAGGATTAGTAAATGCTGTACTTTCAACAGTTCGATCTTGGTTTTAGCCCTACCAAAGACAGACCGCTTTACACGTGAATAAGTGTTATTTAAATACATTCTCAAAGGTTAGGATCCTTAGTACACCTCAATAATTATTGGGTTATTTATATTTTTGCTTAATAATGTCCTGTATTTAAACTGAGGGCACATTAAGTTTACACGTCATCTCAATGACTGATCATGTAATTTAAAGGATCCGAAATGTTGTTTCAACTGCGTGGTAAGATATGCCAAAACTGACTTTAGTATTTATGAATTTAATACTTTTAACTGTTCGAAAGTGGTATTTACTCTATCAAAAATAGATTTCTTTCTCATACCAAGTGGTACTTAAATACCTGCAAAAATCCATAGCATCTAAAGACACATCTGAATAACTGCTGAATTACTCAAAGAATAAGTAATCATAAAATATTTGCTCTAAAAAAAGAAGTCTAATGAGCGTTAAAAAGTTGAAATCAGCTCTCTGGTTATGAAGATACATTGGATGACCGTTTTACAGCTTGACGACCGATATGGGGGCCAAAGACCACGATTTGGATCGAATGACCTAAATATGTTTATATGCTCCTATTGTTGCCTAATAATGCCCTGCATTCGAAATCCCAACCAGGGGTGCGCGCCTCCCAAGGAGAGCATAGAGTCAAGGGGGCGTTTGCATTTTAGAAAGAAAAAACAAAAAGAAATAAACAAACAACAGTAACAAATAACATTACAATGTAATGTTTAATTTACATGCATAAAATTAGAAATTAAATATCATATTCACTCATTCTGTCAACCGCTGTTTCAAAACCCGGCGTCATCTATCGCAGTTCATACTAGTCATGTGTCATTCGCGAACGAGTCGTTCAAAATGAACGACTCATCTAAGTGAGCGATGATGGAAACTCTTTTGTTACATATGACTCGTTCAATTGGGCAAAGCATGTCCGCAGTATGCAGCAACTGAACTGCAAACTGACAACGTGGTAACAGTACAGACACTAGAGCAAACATTACATTTTGATTCAAAATTCGGTAATTCCTCAAAACCAAACCACATATCCCTTCCTTTCCGGATGACGGTATACATTCGTTACATTCAATCTCAACCAAAAATATTAATACTTAAATAAATACTATAACAAGTTCAACAAGTTCAAATGAACGACTCCGAACGAACGACTCACTGAAGAGAGATGAACGAAATGAGCGAGCTCAGAGAAAAGAGTCGTATGTCTCAAGCCTAGTTTATACAAGTTTCGACAAGTCACAACATTCATGTTTCAACGGGTTTCAACCCGCGCGCACCCACGCTACTCGCCGCTTGACATTCATCAGTTATAAAACAATTATGTACCTACCAGACGCGGATGAGCATCTGTGATATTCATTCCCGCAAACTTGCAAAAAAATTTACGTTTCGATGTGCATGTTTTGTTGAGAAATCTGTCAAATTATTGTGTCTCACTGTTAAAAGGTAAGTTTGTGTACTTACAAACTTCAGTTACCATTTTTATTTAATTTACTAAATTGTTGATTGAGTGGAGACACGTTCATAGATCGGCCATTGGGACTTTTTTACCACATCACAATCAAACCAACGTGGCGAAATAATTTTGAAACGATGAACTTTATGTACCTAATATTAATTCCAAATGTATTTGAAATTACTATTACAGGTATAACGTCAACCTGTCTACGAAAATACGAATCTCCCGGTGGCCAATATACTGTTGAATACGTTACGTTATTAACCCAACTAGCAAAGTAGTGGTATAAGCTTTTGGTAAAAGAAACGTTCAGCCATAAAAGCTCTCTATTGTTGTTGCCTGAACACCAAAATGCTGGCTTAATATTGTGTGGAATGCAAATTTGCTTTCTGCATCATATTTGCTCTAAAGTGAGGTGTTTAAAATATTCTTGTAGCATAGTTATACAACACCTTATAGGGCGAATTTTTAACTGTTGCATAACCGTTTAACAACTATTTTATATGGCATATTTGCACGTTAGTCAAAATGGTTGTGTTGTGGCATCCATGGTAACGTGTATAAAACAAACCCGAGCCTTGTTGTTTTGCTGTGCACTTTACTACTGTAGCCAACAAATTGCTCCCAACGGAAGCACTGATACAACTGGTGTTTAGTAACTGTTAAAGGCTGTACATATGCTAAATATGTTGGTATACAACTTTACCATAACCTAACTTTCTGCTGTAAAATTTTTGTTAAAATGCGATAACCAATATTTTAAGACAAACAACGCATGGACGATGCCATGATTATACACAACCACCCGCCATATTGGGCAAACACTTATATATTTATATATTATATATTTTATATATATATATATATATATATATATTTATATATTAGTGTAATTGTGTCTAAATATAGGATTTGTGGAAGATTTAACGCAGATAAGTTCAGTTTTCCATCTTAAAAATCTAGACATACTTTTGATCATTATCAAAATATGAATCAAATACGAAGCCCGTAGAAATTGCGTAACTAATTTGCACGATAATCACAATAAAATTTGCTGCGCAAGTAATTCAATAGCCCTATATCACAGTGTAGAAGTTTATCATATACCTGTGTGTGAAATTCACAATGGCCGATATGTAAATAAACAAATGACTAGTTAGTTATATATTCTTCTTCGTCTATACAATACATAAGGAATAGTTTGGTTGCAGTAAAGTAGAATCACGTAACAGAATAGTTACATAGTTGACAAAAACTGAATCTTGCACTGACGCAAATGTCATATATCGGCTTAGACTTTTGTTGCATAACTGTTACCTGCAGCCCTTATACAACCTCTTAAATGACTGAAGTGTCCTATTAGGTGTGCCCATTCCGCTTGTATAGCAGTTCTAAGAGGGTTTTGCCAATGTTCTTACAGTATACAATGCTGTTTAAGAAATACTGAATAATCATTCTTGCAATTCTAATAGGAGTGATAATTGTTAGTTGGGAAGATAAAATAATGGGCATATAACTAGTAACTACATGTAGGTATTTTGCGTATTTATTTATTACTTATTCGTTTTATTGTTATAGGTGCAAAGTGGTAGCGAAAAAAAGAAAGTTTTCCGAAGATTACGTTAAGTTTGGATTTACCTTCATAGAGAAAGACGAGTTACAATTTCCTCAGTGTGTGATATGTATGAAAGTTTTAAGTAATGATAGCATGTGGCCCAATTGCCTTGAAGGGCATTTGCGGATGAGACTGAATAAATCGAAAAGTTACCCAGGTGTATCGCAGCTTCATTTGAAATAGCTTTTATGATAAAGCAAAACAAACCTCATACTATCAGTGAAGAATTAATAAAACCATGTGTCCTAAAAGCCACGCAGATAATTTTAGAAGAAAATGCAGAGCAAAAAATGAAGTCTATTTCTCTTTCGAATAACACAGTCAAGCGTAGAATTGATGCAGCAGGCATAAAGTTACAAATAATTAACAAAGTAAAATTATCGCCATTTGTCGCCATTAGTTGCGATGAATCCATCGACATCGTTAATTGTGCACAGTTAGTAGCTTATGTTCGTTACATCGGCGGAGATATCTCTCAAGAAGAGATTTTGTACTCCCAATCTTTGACAGCAGGTACTACATCTGAAGATAAATTTAATTCAATATCGAGTTCTGTTGAAAAAAAATGGTTTTTATTGGAAGAAACTCATTGGACTTTGCACTGATGGCGCACCTTTAATGATAGGCGTACGATCAAGCTTAGCTAAAAAGGTCCAGGAAAAAAGCCCACAATGGTTAGCACACATTGTGTTATTCATCGGCAAGCTTTGGCTTCCCAAAACATTGCCACAGAAATTACACCTGGCGTTGGACTCGGCTATAAGGATTGTAATCTAAATCAAGAGCAGCGCTTTGAACCGTCGGTTATTTACTTTACTTTGCGAGGATCTCGATTCTGATCACAAAGTCCTTCGGTTCCATACAGAAGTACGCCGGCTGTCCAAAGGCAACATGTTGGCTCGCCTTTATGAATTGAAAGAAGAGGCAATTCTTTTTCTTGAGTTCAAAGAAAAACACGATTTCTTAACAGTGTTCAAAGATGGCACATTTCAATGGAGGTGGGCTTATTTAACTGACATATTTGACTCCTTGAATGAGCTAAACATGAAACTTCAGGGCAGAAACAACACTATAATAAGTAATTTATTATGATTATATTCAGGGGTTCATATCACAGCTTCAACTGTGGAATTAGAAAGTGTCTTCCGAAAATGTTATATCTTTTTCTTGGCTGTTCAAGGCAACTAAAAATAACATACTGACATAAAAACTCATTTTCAAGCACTGGAAGACGAATTTCCAATATGGCACATGACAAGAAAGCCACTTGTTGACGATGTGTCACAATTACCAGAAGAAGTTCAGGAAGGATTTCTAGAAATGAAGGCTGATTCGTCCATGAAATATGGCTTCCATCTTTTAACATTAGAGAAATTTTGGATCAAAGGATTGCCTATTAATTCGACACTTGCCTCTTTTGCTTTGCGAATACTAGTTCCTTGTTTTTAACTTACTTATGTGAGACAGGCTTTTCTGCTCTAGCTTTAATTAAAACTAAACAGCGAAATCGTCTTGATGTCGATAGCGACCTGATGATAGCTCTAGCAAAAACAGAACCTAGAATTAACCAACTGGTGCAGAACATGCAATCTCAAGTGTCCCATTAGTACCTACTTCTTATTTTCGATAAAAAAAATTTATTAGTTTATTTAAGCTTTTAAAGTTTCTTTATCAGAATTAGAATAAATGTCTTTGTACCCATATAATGTGCGTTTTTTGTATGTATTAAAAAAGTAAGGGGGGGGGCATGAAAGTATAATTTATATTCCGGGGAGCCACAACAAAAAAAAAAGGTTAGGAAACCCTCTTCTAGACTATCATGATGCCGCCTCACGTTAATCCTACCAGACAAACCCGTCACACTTCCATTACACATTTAAACTGCTAAGAACACCGTTCATCGAGAACTGGCCGGTAAGGTTGATCCTAGTTTTTCCCAGCTTAGTGACCTTGAAGAGCTCAAAAATCGGATCTGTCAAACATCTCTTACACATTTAAGTTTAGTATAAAAGCACATTTCTCACAGAAAGGTCTCCTCTCTGATAATAACCCAAAAGGGACAAGTTTTACCATCTAGCCGCAAGTTCGTTGCGGGCAGTCTCAAAACTTCCTTGTATAAAATGTGTTTCTTGGATTTCTTAAACGAACTTCCCGCTCACGCTCTCTGTAGTAACAATTTAGCAAGTGCTACTTGCCAAGCGCAAGGTCATTAGTAGCTGTCTCAAAACTTTCTCATCTGAAAGAGCTTCTCTTTTAATGTTGGATGAAAATCGCGTTCTCCTATTAATCGAAAATCTATCTACTTGGCACTGCTTTCCTACTACGAAACCCAGTTCATAAATCATAAACACACCTTATAGTTCATCCCGACGTCTTTACGGCGGCTTACGTGACGCCGCTCGAGTAGGTCTGACACAGCGTATCGTCAGCTGATGCTGATTATTATTCCCCTACAAGAAATATATAACGTGGATTGGAATGTCCTGTTCGTATTACCCACCTTCCTAGGTCCGACCGTTGTTCCCTTGATTGTGGGCCTCACTTGGTGCGTCGCACCGTTTGCAATTGACTGCAAAATATACACGTACGGAAAATATATTCCGCAACAACAACAAAATTTCGAAAAAAATAATTTGTTTCCCGCCCTTCTCACCATGAAAGGTCTTTAACGACAACCAATTTTGCCAAGTGGTAATTATTTATTTGCATCAAAACATAGGAAAAAAAATTCAAAATCAATCTGAAATTTTTCTATCACGTTTTGTACTTATACTAACGCTTCTCTTAATAATGTATTGCACATTTTCTGCTTTATGTTGGTAACAGACTAAACAAACAGAATTGATCCCCACCACAACTTCCTGCAAATATTGCCAACATCACACATAAATCCTAACCTCTCGACTACACCAATAATTCTAGATTAGCCCAAAATGTGAATTTGTGAAGTGTTTAATGAAATTTTATTCAATCAACAGTGTTTGTCCCAATCCATCCGTATTTCATGACTAAAACGTAATTCTGTTCTCTACCGTTTTTAAAAAAGGATCCGCGTAAATACAGTTTTTATCATACAGCCATGTGTTCCCAAATACAATTTAAAACATTAAGCACTAGCACCAATCTGGTTGAAGGATAAAATTCTAATTAATTGAGCGATACTGACACTACCAGCCTTCAGTCGTTTGTCAAATGTTTCATGCTACTTACGATCCTGCCCTACACCATCTTGTGCAGTGGTTGTTTCACGATGTAACATGTAATTTGTTAATAATTTTAACTTTCATTCCAAATATTTTTAATCCGTTGTGATGTGTTCCTAACATACAGCTGTGTGCGTTTTTTACCATTTTTAACGAATGTACCATGGATCCAGCTTTCACCAGCTTACTAAATGTTTCCTTCAGCCTAACCTTTAATAACATTTAGCAACAATCTCACATACTATTGTAAGTTATTTAAAATCATTTTGCACAATAGTTGCTATTTCTTCCTAATGTTATTGTAGCTCCTGAAGGTGATGGCATAGCCCGTCGAAAGCCAGAGACTAATAAAGTATAGAGTCCTCATCGCTTTAATCTCGTCGAAGTAGACAACTAAAGGCGGACGCTTTATTTTTCCACCTAACTGGTTGTTAGACGACATTGACCACGTCTCATGTTATATACGAGTATATATATACTCGTATATATATATATATATATGTATATATGTTTGTATACACGTATATGTAAAAAGGCCGACAGCATAGTCCTGTCTAGGTTTTCTGCCTCAGAGTAACTATAAAAGCTTTCCCCTGTCAAAAGACAAATCGTATTATCTAACTTGAAAAGTAATATTATATAGATTTTTTATGATATTACTAGCCGTAAGAAACGTATTTTCATCCGCCATTTTTATTCATATGGTTAACCGACAAGGATAGCAATAAGGCAACACAGCAGTTTCTTTTGAACGGGCCATCACAAAGTACAGATGGTTTAAAAAACGAAAACACCGTGTTTTCATAAGCAATTTTCTCTCACATAGCAAACTGTCAATAGCTGCTGGAAAACAGATGGCGGAGAGGAGTGCCTGTCTCTTTTGGTACTTGCGAAATATTTCTTCTGCCGTGCGAGCCCCTTGCTCAAGCAAACTGCCAAACGCACGTAACTTAAATCACCATTAGGTTTTCAATGATTTCCCGTCTTTCTGCGTAATTTTCTTGATTCTTCCTTTTTAAAAGCCCCCTATACATCATTAGGAAACTTTTGAAAACAAGATGAATGAAATCGGTAAAGTCGTTCTCAAGTTATGGCGTGGCCACGCGAAATAGGGATTCATTTTTGTATAAAGATCGAGGTTTTCTTACAAAATTTCAGGCTTGAACTGGAAAAACGTTTCTGTCGGCTGTAGGAATATACTCCACTGCAGTGGCGGCTCGTGGCAAAATAAAACAGGTGTTCTGCAAATCCGAACTTACCTATTTTTTATATGTCAGTTCGATCCTGCGCTGCTTCTTGGCAGCAAATTTGTCGATCATCTTCCCGTTAAAATTTTCTATGGTCGAAATAAATTCCTTTTCAATGGACAGCATCGACAACGCTGTAAGGCGATCCTGGGTCATAGTATTACGAAGAAAAGTGTTGATTCTTTTCAATGTTGAGAAATTTCGCTCAGACTTTGATGTCGACATAGGTTGTAACAATAATTTCTAATAGCTTTTTTGTTTGTTTTAGTGTTTCCTCCAAACCATTTTGTATCAAAAATTTCAAAAGAGACAGAGTTCCATGTAAATCTCGGCAATCACTCCGTGCATAAATAACAGACAACTCTGTCTTTAAACGAGTTTTTTCTAATTCGGGATAAGCCAAACAGGTAGTTTCCAACTTGTCATCAGGAAACTTACCACAGTATTCTCCAAAATATTCGGGGAAAAAAGGGATGCGGCTACCAAATGATTTTTGAATTGAAATCTGTCATTTGAAGAATTCACTATATTGTCGTATACTTCTAATGGGGCAACTCGGTGATCGTGACTGCTATTATTACGTCGTCTCCTTTTGTTGCCTTGGGGTTCAGTACAAATACTTTTGGCTTCATTTATTATGTCATCAATTTTATTTCTCACATCGTCAATACATTTTTCAAAATTATCGATAGCCGTTTTAACTTGCGCTGGCTCGGTTTTTCTCTTCTGCAACTGGTTGAACAAGATGTTGACGTGAGGCATGACATGATGAAAAAATGTCAACCAAAACACGAAAACAGAATCGTTTAACATACGGCGAATACCGCAAGCTGCCTTGCAAACGGTTTCACTAGTGAATTTTTCTTCTATTTCTTCCATGCATTCAATGAGTGATTCTCTGTTCTCAAACACTACATTTATTGTTCGAATATTAAAATTCCAACGAGTTGTTGCTCCTTGTGGAATTTTTTTCCCCACAATTCTGTTCAGTACCTCTACGCGTTGAGGAGAATTATTAAAAAATGACAGAATATCTTTCAGATCCCCAAAGAACACCCGAACTTGAGCATTTGCGGAAGCAAATGGATATCTTTGTTTAATTTTTGCCTGTACTCCAGCATTATGTCCGCTCATTACCGCGGCTCCATCATAGCTTTGTGGAATCAGTTTGTTAGGGAAATTTCCTATTAATGGATCTACGACGCTCAAAATATGTCTTGTGATACCTTCAGCTCAATTTTTTCTTCAAATGTGTATTGCCAGAATCGTTTCACGTTGATAAGTCTGTAAACCACAGCCATTGTCTTGCACTACCCTTCTACACAGCCACAGTCAGTCAGTGAGTTACTAGTCGTTCAACGTAAGACCCAAAATACCCGAATAAAAAAATGTTCGCATTCAAATCTTAAGACACGTCACGCGACAAGGCCAATATGCCAATACCTTGGACCGAGCACCGACCGACCAATCAGATAACGTACTTCGCATTAGATCTGTACGGATCTGCATAAATTGCAGCACATGCTTATGCTTAAATCGCGTATTTGATTTTGTAGAGAGAGACAAAAGTAAGCGCGTGCGGCTTGTGTGGAAATAGTGCACAGACCCTTTTCAAGTGGCCCATGAATAATGTTACGCGGCGGTCGCGACGAAAATGACAAGTACACAATTGGTCGATTGTAATGCTGCAAAACAGACTCTACGCCGTGTCTTCCGGAGGCAGGCCAGTATTGTTTCTATTTGTGTGATAAAATGGAAAATAAATAATGATTAAATTACTACTGCTTTTTTCTGTTGAAGACAAAAGTTTTGGCAGTTCTGCAGCTCTGCAGAACTTAAGGACCAGCCGCCCCTGCTCCATTGCCATTTGTCTCCATTTGCGAAATATGAAAATCATCAAGATAAAATTCAAATAAAAAGCAACGAACCCATCTTTAAGGCTGCATTTCTTTCACATGCAGTCTCCGTAACACCCGTAGAAATATAAGCGCGACAATAGAGGCTAGTAAATATTTCACTTAGTCCCTGAGCAGATCAAAAAGACGCCACCGCGACTTACCGGCCACAAAAGGTGAGACGTTTATAGGCCTGGTACGACTGGGTACCAACACCTCAGAGAAAGAATTTCGATGCTATTCACACAGGAGGTTTTGCACA